ACAGCAGCCTCAGGTGCTTGTTCACGTTGTCCTCATCGCCCTGAAATTGGGGTTTAAAGTGCGCTTTGGGGCCCCGCCTCCTCCCTACCTCCACCATGTGGACGAAGTGGCGGCTGTAGTAGAGCAGGAAGCCGGTCAGGCGCTCGATGCAGTACGTTTCGTTGCATTGACTGATGATGGCGGCGAAGAGCTCCTTGGCCGGCTCGTAGCCGGCCAATCGGTGCTCGCCCACGTAGATGATGCGGTGCAGGAAGGTGGCCTGAAACTGCGCCCTGATTGGTCGCACAGTGACGGCTGGGAATAGAGCGGCTCACCCGATTGGCCGCCTTGAGGTTCTGCAGCATCACTTGGTACATGGAGCGGCGCTCCGGCTCTTTCACCTCCCCCAGCTGCTCTAAGTTGATTCGCGGCTTCTTTTTCGGGTAGTTCACCTGGACGGCCCTCATTTTGACTGCGTCAACGTCAACGGTTGGCATCGACCCATCAGTGGTTGCCATGCCAACGCCGCTCTAGAGATCTACCGGGTGTGTCGAGTGCGGCCCATCAAACCGGACTGGAATCTTGGATAATCAAAGTCGCAATTTTAACCTCAAACTTTTGACAAGTGTCAATAGACAACGTACATAAATCGCCAATTTCTGACAACTAGTTTGTCAAAATGTCAACGTTGAAACCCAGAATCGCGTTTTCAAACGTCCCTTGTCATTGTCATTGTTTACCGAAATGTCGCGTTTTATTGGCCAAATTATGTGGAAATTTCCAAATTTTCGACATGGCAACTTCATGCTGGAACCGTCACTTTCATTTTCAATCAAATGTCCACTTCCACTTTATCGACTTCTGATTTTCTGGTCAACCAAGTCCTGTCAATGTCGATGTCAACTGCATTTTTGGGCTGAGCAAGTTAATAATGTCAACTTCCAGGTCAAACCTGTCACTCTCCGCCACAAATTTTTGCCAGAAGTTCGCGATCTTAAGCTCGAAACCGAAACCTTTCAAATGTCAATTTCAGGCTTTAAAGTTGAACTGAAGTTTTACCTTTCATTCTGGCATTCAAGCCTTTAAAACGTCAACTAAATGTCAAAGGGTGATGCTTAGACGCCGAAATGTTTTTTTTTCTATTGACATTTCCCCTTTGAAGTGAGATTGTCGGGTCAAAATTTGAAATTTTAACTAGAAAACTCAAAATATTCTCAACATTTCTGTACTCCGACTGTCAGTTTGCAACGTCATTTGTCAATTGTCAATGGGGCATTTCGATTCACATTCCAATTGGGGGACTGGCAAACTGATATCATCAATGCTAAAACCAGTATAGCCAGTTTCAATTTGGAGGTTACGTTGTGGCAAACTTCACATTGCGATTCTAATCTCAAAACATGGAATTTAAGGTGACAGTTGGGACATTTGACGTTTGAACTAAGTCCAACTGTGACGTCCATTTGATGAAATGTCAACTTCCAACTACAAAACTTGAAATGCGCAACTACATTTAACTTTGTTTTGCACTTTTCGGTTTTTAAACGAGATTTTTTGCCTTTCAAACTACTTGTACTTTAACCTCAACATGTCTTGAATGTCGTCTTTTTCCGACTTTTTGGCGTCTGACAGTTGAAATGTCAACTTTCAACGTCAAATATTC